TGTGGCTAGTGCTGTGGAACAACTGCATATTAAATTTTATTTCATTTTAATTAATTTAAATAGCATATATGCCTAGGATTAGACAATGAGGATTTGAAGGATCTGTTGAAATAAACAGGAAAATATACACATACACAAAATTTTGCATACAATTTCAAGAGATTCAGGGACCTTCGCAAGACCATCCATATGTCCTTACATCAGAAACCTTTGAGGCTGGGGTGCCTGGGTGGCTCAGTCAGTTAAGGGTCTGACTTCGGCTTAGGTCATGATCTCACAGTTTGTGGGTTTGAGCTCTGTGTCAGGTTCTGTGCTGACAGCTTGGAGCCTGGAGCCTGCTTCAAATTCTGTGTCTCTCTCTCTCTCTCTGCCCTTTCCCTGCCCATACTCTGTCTCTCTCAAAAAATTAAAAACCAAAAAAAAAAAAAGAAAAAACACCTTTGAAGCTGACTAAAAGAATGAGAATAAGATAAAGAGGACTAGAGGGGGAAAGACTACAGAACTAAAGAGCCAAGATGGAAAATGCTACCATTCAGAACCTCAGAAGGCAACAGACAAGGTATGAAGATAGCTTCTGCCTCCTTCCTCCTCCCACCACAGAGCACATTTACCTCACTGTATGTTAACTGTTTACTTGTCTTCCCCACAGTGGGCTGTACACTGCAGACTATATTCTCCCTAAGAGCAGGGACCACATCTATGTTATTTATCATTATATACAAAGAGCCCAGTATAAACCTAGAACACAGTTGGCACTCAAATATCTGCTCAATGAGTTTTCTCAGGCATCTGATTCTTGCCAGTCCTAGGAAACCAGAGCTCCTGAGTTAAGGAGGGTCTCAGTGATAAAAGGAATTGGCTGACTCATGAAGAGACACAGGGTTTTCACAAGTTGAGCAGATACTCAGATCCATGAAAATCTTGTCTCACCCAGACTGTTCCTATACCTTATTGTTCAGAGTCCCTTGTTAATATACAAGCCATGCAAAAACTTCAATAGTCAGTGACAGTGAGCCACACATACACTGGGGCCAGAGGGCCAAATGTCCTCAAAGCCTTTCTCCTTGGATGTTTCCTCTAATTCTCTACTTCTGGAATTTGCCTGCCTTCTCTCACATTGCCCCTCCACCTGCAATCCTTCTCTTATGTCTCTACCGGGCAAATTCTGACTCATTGTTCAATGTTTTCTCCCTCTGGGGAAACTGTGCTGGCACTTCCAGCCGGAATTATACCACATCTCCACTGGTTCCCTTTGTATTTTGCTCATCTCATCATGTGTACTCTGCCAGGGCAGGGCTATTCATTTTGTATCCCAGCATTAAATAATGTTTGGCATAGAACAGGGGACCGACCAGTATGGAGTACTAAAAGAATATAAACTCATTTGTTTTTCCCCACCCACACCACCACTGCTTAGCGTGTGCTGATCAAAGGCTATCGATTAGACTGTCTCATTCACACTGAAGAAGTCTGAAAACAAAAATTCAGGGGTACTCCAAAGAAATAGGAAATACATGACAGAGAAGTAATAAAAGGAAAAGAAAGGAGAAAACACTACCTGAACAGAAGTCAAATGGCTGACAGGTAGAAGTGCAGGGCAAGAAACAAGCAATAAGAACATCCTGAATATGGTAAAGGGAATTTATGAAAAGCCCACAGCTAACATCATGTAATAGTCAAAGACTGAAAAGCATCCCCTAGGCCATGAAGGAGACAAAAATGCCCACTTGTGCTCTGCTACTTCTATTCAACATTGTACTGGAATCACAATGAGATATCCAGAGCAATTAGACAGAAAAAGAAATAAAAGGCATCCAATTGGAAAAGGAAGAAGTAAAATTATCTCTAGTCCCAGATGACCTGAAAAAAAATACACCCCACACACAATTTAAGAATCCACACACAGGGGCACCTGGGTGGTTCAGTCGGTTAAGTGTCCGACTTTGGCTCAGGTCATAATCTCATGGTCCATGAGTTCAAGCCCCATGTTGGACTCGACAGCCTCCTTCAAATTCTGTATCTCCTTCTCTCTCTGCCCCTCCCCTGCTCATACTCTCAGTCTCTCAAAAATAAACAAACATTAAACATTTTTTTTTCAAAAAAAAGAATCCACCGCAAAACTGTTAAGCTAATAAATTCAGCAAAGTTGCAGGATAAGGCGTGCCTGAGTGGCTCAGTCGGTTAAGCATCTGACTTCGGCTCAGGTCATGATCTTGTGGTTCACAGGTTCGAGCCCCGCGTGGGTTCTGTGCTGGCAGCTCAGAGCCTGGAGCCTCTATCAGTTTCCGTGTCTCCCTCTCTCTCTGCCCCTCCCCATGCTGACAGCATAGAGCTGGATGTGGGACTTGAACTCATGAACCGTGAGATCATGACCTGAGCCAAAGTTGGACACTTAACCGACTGAGCTACCCAGGCGCCCCCCAAAATTTGATTTTTAAAATCCCACGAGCCTTGTTGCAGGAATAGAAGAGTTTATCTTAAAATTCATAAGAAATCACTAGACTTGAATAGCCAAAACAGTCTTGAAAAAGTTGGAAGACTCACTGGTCCTGATTTCAAAACTTACTACCAACGGCATCTGGGTGGCTCAGGCAGTTGAGAGTCTGACTTCCACTCGGGTGTGATCTTGTGGTTCCTGAGACTGAGCCCTGAGTTGGGCTTGCAGTGGCAGTGCAGGGATTCTGTCTCTCCCTCTCTGCTCCACCCTTGCTCATGTGCATGCACACTCTGTCTAAATAAATAAGCATTAAAAAAAAAAATCAAACCCGATGGCCAACAACTTAATCAATAGTGCCTAAGTTAAGAAACATCCAAAAAATCCTAAATGACTAGGTTTGGAGAGCTCCTGGGTTGGTGAACAAGAAGGCACTCACGTGCCAGGGGATGGCACACTGTAAACTCTACAGGGTCAGAAGCCCCAGTGCTCAGGACCCTTCAAGAATTTGCCCTATGTGACTCTTCATCTGGCTGTTCATTCATATCCTTTAATATCCTTTGTAATAAACCAATAATCTAGTAAGTAGTAAATAATCTAGTAAACTGTTCTTAAGTTCTGTGAGCCATTCTAGTAAATAAGTGAACCCAAGAATCCTCTGATTTATGGTTGGTCAGGCGCACAGGTGGTAACTTGGACCTGCAATTGGCATCTGAAGTGGGGGCAGTCTAGTGAGATGAGTCCTTAACCTGTGAGATCTGATGCTGTCTCCAGGCAGACTGTCAAAATTGAATTAAATTACGGGATACTCAGCTGGTGTAGAAGAATTGCTTCATGTGGGAAAACTCCCCACAAATTTGAAGCACAGCATATTCTTTGAATAGTAAGTAAAGGAAAACAAGTTTGTGTGTGTGTGTGTGTGTGTGTGTGTGTTTTCTAGGTATCTAAAATAGTCAAATACACAGAAGCATAGAGTAGGGGGCAAGGGAAAATAGGAAACTGCTATTCAATGGGTATAAACTTTCAGTTATCTAGATGGGTGATGGGTATAAAAGAGGGCACTTGTGATGAACACTGAGTGTTGTATGTAAGTGATGAATCACTGAATTCTACTTCTGAAACCAATATTGCACTGAATGTTAACTAGAATTTATTTAAAAATATTTTTTAATGTTTTTTTTTATTTTTGAGAGAAAGAGAGACAGAGAGTGAGTAAGGGAGGGGCAGAGAGAGAGGGAGGCAAAGAATCCAGGCTCTGAGTTGTCAGCACAGAGCCCAACGCGGGGCTCAAACCCACCAAGCGTGAGATCATGACCTGAGCTGAAACTGGACACTGAGCCACCCAGGTGCTCTAGCTAACTAGAATTTAAATAAAAATTTGAAAAAAAAAAAAAGTTGTTATATGAGATGATTAAGTTCTAGAGATCTGCTGTACAACATTGTGCCTATAGTTATCAATACTGTACTGTACACATAAAGAATTTGTTAAGGGGTAGATCTCATATTAAGTGCTCTTATTGTCTTACTGCAATAAAAAATTAAAATTTGTGAATCAAAGGACACTATCAATAAAATGCACAGACAACCTACAGAATGGGAGAAAATACTTGCATATCATTTATCTGATAAGGGTATTGTATGTAGAATACATGAAGAACTCTTAGAACTCAACAAAAGACAAACAACTCAAATTAAAAAGGGGCATAAGACTTAAATAGACTTTCTCTCCAAAGATATATAAATGGCCAGGAAGCACATGGAAAGATGCTCAGAGATGCTCAATAGGGAAATACAAATCAAAACCACAATGCAAGAACACTTCACTCCCACAAACACACCACAATCAAAACAATAGAAAATAACAAATATTGGTGAAGATGGGGAGAAATTGAAACCCTTGTATACTGCCAGTGGGAATGTAAGATGGCTCAGTTGCTATGGGAAAAAGTTTGGGGATTCCTCAAAAAGTTAAACACAGAGGAGAGCCTGGCTGGATCTCAGGGTTCTGAGTTCAAGCCTCACCTTGTGTGTAGTGATTACTTAAATAAATATGAATGTTCATAACAGCACTATTCACAATAGCCAGAAGGCGGAAACAACCCAAATGTCCATCAACTGATGAATGGATACACAGGTGTGGTATATCCATACAAGAGAATATTATTCAGCCATAAAAAAGGAATGAGGTACTGATACATGCTGTAAATCGGACAAATCTTAAAAACAGTATGCTAAGCAAAAGAACACAAACATCAAAGGTCACATATTGTAGGATTCAATTTCTATGAAAAGTCCAGAACAGGCAAACCCAGACAGACAGAAAGCAGATTAATTAATAGTGACCAGAGCTGTGAGGAAGGGCAAGTGCAGAGTGACTGTTTAATAGGTATGAGTTTCCTCTTGGTAGGGGAAATATTTTGAAATTAGGTAAGAGGTGATGGTTGTACAACCTTGTGAATGTACCAAATGTCTATCTTAATGTACCAAACTGCCTATCTTAAGATAGTTAATTGTACATGATTTTTACATTAAAAAAAAAAAAGTAAGGAAACCAAGACACACAAGGTGTTAGAAAAAGGGATGTATTTACAAACCAACAAGCTCCCTAACTATAGCTAGAGGAAGAGGACAGAAGGAGGTAGCAAATATAAGCAGATCCTTTAATAAGCCCAACCTCACTCCTGTAGAAACCCTGAGTACCAGCCCATGAGATCAGTTCCTACTCCATGGCCCATTCTTCTAGTTCAAGAAGCAGTCCCTCGGCCACAGCCTTCAGTCTTCTTGCCAGTCATCCTGTGCCCAGGCAGGCATGGGTGAAAAGTACTCAAACCCGGGTCCTTTATAACGCAGAGCATGCAGGAACATCACAAGGTCCTGGGGCAAGGGGTCCTGTCGCACCAGCCGGCACTCTGCACAGAGAGGGTCTATCTCTTGATTCACAGCATCTGTTTCGGCTGCCTTCTCTGGTGCCAAGGCTATTGTGTCCAGATCCTGAGGGGCTGCCTCAACTGCTCCATCCATCTTCTGGGCAGATGTAGCCAACTTTTCTAGGTGGTCCTTACCCAACACTGAGGAGGGAGCTGTAGAGCCTATGAGTCCCGGGGACAGATCGCCCTCACAGATATCTAGCACATCCAGGCTCTGTTTGGCCTGGTGCTCTGCCACAAGGTCCCGAAGCAGTTCGTCATCTGTTTTGGGAACGTGGCCGCCCCGGCCCCGGGAAGGACCCCAGGCAACAGAGTTGTAGATGGGGTCATTGAGAATGGGATGGCCCAGGAACTGGAGGTGGACTCGGATCTGGTGAGTGCGGCCTGTGAGTGGCCGGCACTGCACCACACTGGAGTGGCCATTGTAGCTCAGTCTCTGGAACACTGTCTCACAGGGCTTGCCCCGAGTATCTACACGGCACACCCCTACCTTGTAAGATACCACCAAGATGGGTTCCTTGCAGGTCACTTCCTCAGTGGGGAACTCCCCCTGCACCCGGCACACGTACTCCTTCTCCAGCTACATAGAAGGAAAGAAGGAGAAACTCAGCATAACGCTCCACCATTGGCCAGTTCCATGATTCTAGGTACGTTAGTTAACCTCTTTAAATCCCATTAACTTGTCTAGAAAACATATGATTAGAAAAGCATTTGTGGCGCCTGTGTGGCTCTTGTCAATTAAGCGTCTGCCTCTCAGGTCATGCTCTCAAGGTCTAAATTTGAATCCTGTGTCAGGCTCTGTGATGACAACAGGGGGCCTGTTTGGGATTCTTTCTCCCCCCCCCCCCCAAATAAATAAATATACAAGCTATTTTAAAACAAGCATTTATCTCACAGGACCATTAACAAGGATTCAGTGAGTTAGACTCTAACGTACTTGGTACTGAGCCTGGTACTCAGTAAACACTCACAATCAGATCCAAAATTACAAGCCTCAAGACTACAGTCAGTACCATTTAACTCTTCTCAAGCTTCTTCCAACTTCATCCAGAATTTTTCTACCAAGTAGGCTCTCCTCATCTTAAAAATCGTAGTCATAAAAAAACAAACAAAACCAAAAAACACCTTGGTCAGCCTGTCAGCACTTTAAAACTTAAAAACGGCAAGCTACCAAGAAAGGCAGTATATATGCCATCTCGAAAGGTCTTTTGAAACATAAAAGATAATAACCTGTCTTTGGCATTTTCAGTGTTGACCTTCCTGAAGATGAGAAGATTGGCCAGATAACATGAAGGGCCACTTCAAAAGAACTCAGTGACATACTTTTGATACAAAGGATCCATGAGTCCAGGAAGTGGATGCAGAAGACAAAAGCCCAGCTCACCTGTCGGTCCCGAACCTGCTCATGAATTCTCTCTGAGACAGCTGCTGTCTTGGCAAACATTAGGACACCTGAGGTAAGGCGGTCAAGCCGATGCAGTGGATGTAGCTCCTTGAGCTGGTGCTCCTTGCCCAGGATGAAGATGACACTATTGTGTCGGAAGCGGCCACAAGGATGGACAGGAATGGAAGAAGGCTTGTCTACAACCACCACATCCTCGTTCTCAGCTAGCAGGCGGACAGGATCTGCTGTGACTGGTGGCTCATGCCTGTGCACTCTGTTTCGCAAGAAGTCATTGTCCTGCCAATGACAAAGGCCAATCATCAGCCCAGAGGCCAGCAACCTGTGGTCAACTTCCCACACAGCTTCCTGTTCCTTACTGATACACAATGGTCACAGCACATCCTTAACCAGAAAACGCAGTGTGCATAGTGTATTCTTATTTTGCAAAAGTACAGATAGACACCCAGGCAGATGGTAGGCACTGAGAAAGTACTAGAAAGATATACATAAAAATGCTCTGGTGATATTTCTGGGTGGTGGTATGGATGTTTTTTTTGGTTTTGCTCATTTGTATTTTCTCTACAATAGTTATATTTAAAAGGTAAAGTCTTTTTAAAAAATTAAAGGTAAAGCTTTCTAAAATGGAGGTGAAAACCTTCATAAAATCATCACTTACTGTGACCTTGAACAAACAACACCAAGATCTAAGTCCAGACATCCGGTCTCTAGACTTGAACTGTCACAGGCCCACTGTACATCACTTAACTTCTCTGGGCCTCAGTTTCCTCATTCCCAGTAAAATATGAGAGTTAGGCCAGACCTATACCTCTCAGAATAGCAATAGGAGAGGGGATTCAAACCACTTATTCTCCCAATGCTTAAATCGTCTTGTCTCCGCTCACCAACCTGGTGAATCAGCGTTACTGACGTGGGTGTCTGGTAGTTCTTGGCTGTGAGGGACTTTTAAAGGGTCAAAGCACTAAACTAGACAATTCTAGTTTCTATCCCTGACATTTCACAATTCTACCACATCAGGCTCTATGATAAATGCTTTTTAAAAATTTTTTTTATATTTATTTATTTATTTTGAAGGGGGAAAAGAGGGAGAGAGAGAAAGGGAGAGAATCCCAAGCAGGCTCCGTGCTGTCGCAGAGAGCCTGACTGGGGCTCCGACTCAGTAATTGTGAAATCATGACCTGAGCCAAATCCAAGAGTCAGAAGGTTGGGGTGACTGGGTGGTGCAGTAGATAAAGCCTCTGACTTCAGTTTAGGTCAAGAACTCACTGTTCATGAGTTCGAGCTCCCCATCAGGGGGAGCCTGGAGCCTGCTTCAGATTCTGTGTCTCCTTCTCTCTCTGACCCTCCCTTGCTCACACTGTCTCTCAACAATAAATAAATGTTAAAAAAAAAAAAAAAAAAAAAAAAAAANAAAAAAAAAAAAAAAAAAAAAAAAAAAGCCAGAGGCTTAACCCACTGAGCCAGCCAGGCACCCTTCTACCATAAATAATTTAAGTAGTAGTTTTAAGAACACAGGTTTTGGAGGTGACACTGTTGCCTTACCTCTCTGAAGCTCACTTTAGTTCTGTTTCCTCACAGGTAAAATGAGGTAGCAATACCTACCCCACAAGGCTGTGATTAGAATTCTATGTTAAGTACATACAATGCTTACCTCTGTGCCAGCACACAGTAAGGAGACATAAGTGAGAGGCTCTATTATCACTATTTGTACTGAGATCTATAATGCAAGATAGTGATCAGTGCCAGTGCACAAAAGGAGCTTTGAAAATTCCAACTTCTGTCCCTTGGAAACAATGAAGCCGCCTGGATGGAAGGGATAAATGGGCTGAGTTTTGAAGCACAGAGGCTACTTTTGCGGAGATGGGACGAGAGAAGGGGGCTAAAAGAGTGTTCCAAGTGAAGCGAAAATGCTTCAGGATTACCTAGATTTTACTCCAGTAACTAAACCCTGAATTATTACTCTGGAATAATTATTAACTCTGAAATGACCCCTGACCCCTTTCCTCGCCCGCTTTCGGCCGGCCCCATCAGAACTCCACCTTGAGAACAATGCTGAGGTCCTGTACTGGCTGCTCGTTTAGGTGCAGGCGCCCCGCCCGGACTGCGGCCTCGTAGTAGGCCAGGGGTTGGGCTCGGAATTCGGTGCTGAAGACGTGCAACAAGCTGTGGCCCACCCAGCGGCCTTTGCAGTAGGTTTGGAAGTCAAAGTAATAGGGCCGCACTTTGCGCAGGCCGCCCTCGAAGTAGTAGCTGGTCTCTGCAAAATGGTCATCGCCGAAGCTCACCCCTGCCCGCCGCTTCTTCGGGGGTGGCACGACGCGCTCCTTGGGGGCGTCCCGTCGCTTCCTACGCTGGCCTGGGCCTGAAGCTGCGACTAAGGCCTGCTCCTCGCTCGCTTGGGTCTGCTTCCCGTCCTCCAGGGCCGGCTCCACTCCCGGACCCACCGGCTCCGGGCTCCCGGAGAGCCGCTCACCACTCGCGACGCCACTAACGTCTCCATTTTGTTGAGCCGGAGTCTTCAGCCCTGTCGCTGCCTCGGCCCCGGCTGAGAATGCTTCCGTCATCGGACCCCTACAACCACCCCAAGTAATGGGAGCACGGAGACGCCAGAGGTGGAAGTACCCTTGTACGAGAATTGGGAGCCACGCGCGGCTGGTCAGCCACATGACCCACTGGCCCCACGTTCTGCGTCGCGATCTGAGGACGTCACCGGGTAACAGCCAATCAGCGAGGCCCAATGCCGAGGCAGGGACTGAGAAGAGTAGTGAGTGAGCGAGTTGAACGAGCGGAGTTGCAAGTTGAGAGGCGGTGGGTGAAAGTAAGGGAGTGAATTGAATTGAGAGGCTGTGAGAATGACTCACCAAAAGTGTGGATTCCGTGTAAATATGCTCAAAGCCCGTTGGGCCTAGGAAAACGAAAGGAGCTTTACAAAGCAAAACAAATCAGAATGAGGATTGTTAAACTCTCTACTAGGAACAGCCATGCTGTATACTTTAAAGCGTGAATATTATAGTTTGTGACTTATAACTCAATAAAGCTGTTATGTTTGTGTTTAAACGCACGTGGGCGCACGCGCGTGCACACACACACACACACACACACACACTCGATAAGCAATGTCTTCACACGTATCCTTCCCCTTAACAGTAGAATTAAAGAGCTCTCATTTGCCTTCCATATGCTCCAGTTCTGGAGATGGAAACCGCAAGTGGATCAATAGATGTCTTTGTCACAGTTCCTAAATGCAAAATATGAAACCAACTCTGGTTAACTTCATCAGATAGGGGAACTATTGAAAGGATATTAGTACTTCATAGAATACGTAAGAAAGCTGGAAAACAGGTTCAGAAACCGCCAAATCAAGAGAAGACAAGGCCTCTGAAAACCAGCCACAGGACATAAGGGTGAATAATATGGACTGTAAATTGGATTTCAAGAAAGTAGGCTTTTTAAAAAGAATTTTTTGAGAATGTGTCTGAAGCACGGACAAGAAATGAGAAATCAGAATATTATAGAAAGGGAATTCTCGTGGGATTGTATAAAACCTTGCTTCTCAAAATGTGGTTTCTGGATGAACAAAATGGGAAACACCTGGCAACTTGTGGGAACTGCAGACTCTTGCCCCCCCTCCCTACTACTGAATGAGAATCTGTACTGTTTAATGTTTATTTATTTTTGAGAGGGGTGGAGCAGGAGAGGCAGAGACAGTGGGAGACAGAATCTGAAGCGGACTCCAGACTCTGAGATGGAGAGCACAGAGCTCAATGCAGGGTTTGAACTCACAGACTGCAAGATCATGACCAGCCAAAGTGGGTTGTTTAACCAAATGAGCCACCTAGGCTCCGGATAATTTTTTTTTTTTTTAAAGAGATGGTCAGAGGGAGAGGGAGAAAGAGAATCCTAAGCAGGCTCCACATCCAGCACAGAACCCGACATGGAGCTTGATCCCACAACTATGAGATGATGATCTGAGCTGAAATCAAGAGTTAGACACTTAACCGACTGAGCTACTCAGATGCCTCTAAAATTTTTAAATTATTATTTTTTATTTTTAGAGAGAGAGAAAGAAAAAGAGTGCGGGCAGGGGAGGGGCAGAAGGGGGGGGTAATCCCAAGCAAGCTCCACACTGTCAGTGCAAAGCTTGATGTGGGGCTCAAACTGATGAACTGTGAGTACAGGACGTGAGCCAAATCAAAAGTTGGATGCTTAACCACTGACTGAGCCACCCACGCACCCCAAGAATCTGTATTTTAACAAGATTCTCAGATGATTTGTCTGCATATTAACGTTTGAGAAGCACTGGCATAGACCATGAAAAGTAGACATTTATCATACTCTTTGGATATCCAGCATCTTCTTAACACTCTTCTTTTGTGTGAAGACTTTCCCACATTATAAGTACTGCCTCCAATGATGTGGATGGAGCTAGAGTGTATTATACTAAGTGAAATAAGTCAATCAGAGAAAGACAAATACCATATGTTTTCACTTACGTGTGGAATTTAAGAAACAAAACAGATGAACATATGGGAAGAGGGGGGGAGAGAGGAGAGGGAAACAAACCATGAGAGACTCTTAATGACAGAGAATAAACTATGGGTTGATAGAGGGAGGTGGGGGAGATGGGCTAACTGGATGATGGGTACTAGGAGGGCACTTGTTGTGATGAGCACAGGGTGTGGAATGTAAGTGATGAATCACTGAACTCTACTCCTGAAACCAATATTGCATGGTATGTTTAAAATTTAAATAAAATTTAAAAGATGTATAACCTCCAAGAGGTGTAAGCCAGAAATCAGGCCTTCCCAGATTCCCTTGCAGTTTGGGCATTCCTCACCTGGACTCCACTGATCAGTCAGGGCCTGTGGTTCAGAGGCACACAGCAGAGGAAGCAGGCACAGTATAGAACCCATGTGTGACAAGATAGCATTGGAAACATCTGGGTTTTTTTTTAAAAAATTGAAATGTTTGAGAGAGAGAGAGAGAATGGGGAAGGAACAGAGAGAGAAGTGGACACAGAATCTGAAGCACGTTCTAGGCTCTGAACTATCAGCACAGAGCACAGCATGGGGCTTGAACCACGAACTGTGAAGTTATGACCTGAGCTGAAGTTAGACACTTAACCAACTGAGCCACCCAGGCACTCTGGAAACATCTGTCTTTTTTTTTTTTTNGTACACTTAAGTAGTGTGTACATTTAGTATTTACTTTTTATGTGTTTTATTTTAGATGGACATACTGCACCATAAAATTCATTTAAAATATAACCTATAGTATTTCATAATATGTTCTTCATTATTTTATTTTATTTTATTTAAAAAAATTTTTTTTAATGTTTTATTTATTTCTAAGAGAGAGAGAGACAGTGTGAGCAGGGGAGGTCAGAGAGAGAGGGAGTCACAGACTGAAACAGGCTCCAGGCTCTGAGCTGGCAGTCAGCACAGGGCCTGACGCGGGGCTCGAACCCACGAACCGCGAGATCATGACCTAAGCGAAAGTCGGACGCTTAACCGACTAAGCCACCCAGGCGCCCCTGGAAACATCTGATTTGGAGCGCTAACAGTGAGGGATTCTTGTGTCCAGTGCTCGGTCAGCAATGTCAGCTGCAGTGTCTATGTTCATAGGCATTAGGGTATTCCCTCAGTGAAGTTTAGCCACTGTTCCTTGCTGTATAGACTCCATGTCTCAAACTGTGACCCATCTTGAGATTCTGTGAAGTACTTAATATCCTTTAATCCTGTATTGTACAATAGAGTAATCATTAGCCACATGTGGCTATTTAACTTTACATTAAGTAAAATGAAAGAAAATTTAAAATTCAGTATTTCAGTTGCACAAACTGCATTTCAAGTGCTCAATAGCCACAAACTAGTGGCTACCTTTTTTTCAAGGTTTTAATTTATTTATCTTGAGAGACAACGAGCAAGAGAGCACGCACATGCATGCAAACGGGGAAGGGTCAGAGAGAGAGAGAGAGACAGAGAGAGACAGAGAGATTGAGAATCACAAGCAGGCTCCATGCTGTCAGCACAAAGCCCAGTGCAGGGCTCAATCTCATGAACTGTGAGATCATGACCTGAGCTGAAATCAAGAGTTGGATGCTTCACAACCAGAGCCACGTTCATGCCCCAAACTAGTGGCTACCTTATTGGAGAACTCACATACAGAAAAATTCTATCAGCACAGAGAGTTCTATTGGACAGAGCAACTTTAATCTTTTTTTTTTTTAACTGCTTATACTAGTTGAATGAATTCTATTGTTTGAACTAAGAATTCCAACTAACTTATTATGATAAGGATTTAAGTCATTAAGAGCAATGGGAGATCATCAAAGAGTTCTTTACATGCGAGTGCGCGTGCGTGTGTGTGTGTGTGTGTGTGTGTAACATGATCTGATCTCAATTTCCAGATCACCTTGGTTGCACCTGGAAGAAGGAACTCAAGAGGGAATCACAAGCTCTAGCTGCAGCTCTGTGTGGTCTCTGACTATAAGAATTCTAATTCAAATATTCCCATACCAAACAAAGTTTGAACATTTGCTAGGCATCATTTGGTTCTGGAGATACAGCGGTAAAAAAGACATGGTTCCTGATCTTAATGAAGGCCTATGCTGGTCAAAGATACAAATAAAAAACATATTTGTGCTAAGTTACGCTTCGGTTAATGCAGAGTCTGAGATAGAGGGATGTGACTGCCCTTATGTGGCTTCCCAGAAGGAACAGTCCTTGGGAAGTGGCAGATCACCACGGCTTTTGGAAGTCCAGGATCTGGTTTCAATTTATTCAGCACACACACTAGTTAAACTCAGGGGACATCAGTGAATCTGTAAGGGTACCAATTTGTTAATTTGCAACTGTAACTTTAAGTTAGAAAATGTATTCCATTTCATACCAGTGACTATTTGTGTCTACTGTTAAAGGCACCCTCATGCTTGTTCAAGATATCTGAGAGGCCACATTTGAAATAAAAAGTTTATTTATGAGTAGAAAACCAGAGGAAAGAGCATAAGTGAATTGAAAGGTCATGGAACAGCTTGATGAAGTACCTGTAAACCTATGACAGTGACCCTTTCTATGAATCAGATGCTTTCAGATTCATGTATTCAGTTCTGGTGGCAGTTGGAGGACTCTGGGGATTCCTCACTGGTAGACTTGGCTCTGGACCCCCTACTTATTCCCTATAAATAAGCACTGAAAAAAATCTTGCCTATTATTTGCTCCTTTGCTTTCTAATCTTCTTGCTTTCCACTTCCTTCTGTCTGCACATGCTCTCTAAGAATGGTTATAAATATGAGCAATGGAGTTCCTTATAGTTCCCTTCTACATGATGGGAGTTATTATCACCATAGCCACTTTGGCCTTGGACACATCTAGAGGCTTTATCCTCAGACAAGTTACGTCAACTGATGGTTGGCTGATGTCTTTTCTCACATGTTTGTTTGAGAGAGAGTAACCCGGCCCTGGGAATTAGGGGTGGAGAGGTGGGGAGAGGAAGGGTTGCATCTCAGCGAACTGAGAATCCCTGAAAGATATCAAAGGTCATCTCCTTTTTGAAGCCTTCCTAACCCACTCCCATGACACTCTCTCCTTTATGTACACCGGCAACACTTCTGTCATATCTTCTGTAACTCTTTGCTGTTATTTGTAATATTGTCTGCTCCCATGGTGCACCCTC